TGAACAGTTTCTTTGACTCTCTATCTTGTAAGGCCTTCTTAAAAATGTGTATCGTTTGGTTTTGCTGTATACAGTGGGACATACTTTTAAGATACAATGGTAATCCCAATACTGTAAATTTGTTCCTCCCGTTCTCCGCGATCTGTTTTCGTCGTCTTCATTCACTTATCTGTACTAAGTCCTACTATTTATATTGTTCTAACCTTAGCACTATGCTTGTCCTCAAACCGGTATATTTATATATATTCCTCACAATGAAAGAAATTTAAAACAGCCGATCAAAAATGTTACTGTAATTATATCTAATCTTTTCTGCTTCGAGCAATTTGGTTACCAGATGGTGGCGCAGTGGCTTAGTCGCTGTCACAGGCGTTCTTTGAACCCTATAGTCCGAGGTTCGAGCACCGTCACCCAACTTTGGTGGTAGATGGCTTTGCTGTCGTCCGNNNNTACCACCCAACCTATCGGGGCCTTATGTGGTTCGCCACTCCAAGTCCCGGGGATTAGGTTACCGATTTCCATCACTGAGCAGCAGGTCCTCGTGACTACGGGACTTTCCCCGTCTGCTGTTCAGCACACAAGTGTGTAAAAAAAGTCGACCAGAGTATTCGCTTAGCGCTTTTCGCACCTTCAGACACATCACCCGGAAAGAAATCGATTTTTCGAAGTCAGAGTTCGAATCCAAACCCAATATGGGTCAAGGCAAACAGCATATTACGTAATCCCGCCGAAAAATCGGGGCAATCTAAGGTTATTTCGTGCACAATGTCATTTCCATGTATTATCAGTGTTATAAGTGCTCCAGGGACAATGAACTTTCAAAATGTGAAAGATGTTGGCTGGAATGTGCCGATCAGTAACTTCTGTTCGTCCCAGTGGTGAATTTTATTTCAAGAATACCTCGAGATATTTTGTCGTTCTACGACCTCATTTTTTCATGTTTTGGATTTCTTTAAAAAAATAGTTTGGAGCAGTTGGTGGAAACGGTGAGCAAAAAGCGTATCCCGTCACACGTGCGGGCCCTGGTGTTTGATCTATGCTGCAGTGACACAAACGGCGAGGACGTGGACGTTCCTTACGTGCGGTATCGCTTGAAACTGTCGAACTGACCATCAGACTCATCAGCATTCAAAACGCCATCCACTTTTTTTATCGGACCCTGTTTTGGCATGAATATGGCGCAATTTTCTATCGCAATCGAGATTCCAGTCTGTTCACTGTGAAGCAAGTACACTAACAAACCATAGCTAAACGTACACTAGTGGCCTAAGCAGCATAATTTTGCTGTTATTTCGACAGCTCGTGTGGGCTTCCCGCTTCTTGAATGGTCTGTCCCTGCCACTGGTACGAACTGAACCTTCCGTATGTGAATTCCGATCACCAAGGCTCCCTGACATCCGCTCAAACGTTTCTCATCTCGGCGGATTGTCTGCCTGTCTCTTCTGCCCACTCCAAAATGAGTGCTGAATGTTACGTGTGCGTTAAAGCCTCTGTCCCCCTCCCCCACAGTGTCTGATTGGTTTCAGTTTTGCTACCCAAGTTGCCCAATGATTTATCTCTCTCGTCCTTATTGTTCTTCCGAATTTCATAACTCGTCCTTCAATGTTGGGTTCATCTGCGCGACAATAGTCTGTATCGTATTTTCTTGCACAGGCTGGGTTACTGTTCCATAATTAGCAAGCAACTAACCAAGCGGATTACAGTTCGTCTCGGGCAAGTATCTATTTTTTTTACATTCATATCACAGTGCAAGATCCAAAAAAGCGTTCTCACGGATCTCACCAGTTTCAGTGGTATTGCTGCACTGAATCCAGTTGAATTATGGGTTGTTGTGGCTTGGAAAATAACCAGAAGTAGATGCGAATAACTGGTGTCTGATTCACACTAAGACCATTGTTGCCAACTTAGGCCCGTGAAGTTGTGTTCCATTTGTTAGGTTCAGTGACTAAGTTTCCAGCGGTAGGTGTTTTCGTGCTTAGTATAGATACTACCTCATCTGGCGGTTTCATCGGAGTGATCGCAGCTCTACCTCAAATTACTGGTTCATTGTTTTCCGCTTTATACCAACCAACATTTCTTGGATCAAACGCTTTCATGAGGCTTGATTTTTATAGTTGGGTTAAAATTCTAACTTGGGCCGGATTTGCTTTGGTTTCTGGCCCTACTCCGACTATTAACCTTCCCTCAGCATGGTCAAGCCACATTCTAACACTAGATTGATACTGAGGCGTCTCTGTTCGTGTATGTTATCTACGGACCTGCAAACTCGATGTTTGTCGGAGCACGGGGTGTCATGGTCGATTCGAAGTATCACGCGCCCTTTTGATGCATAGCCCTGCTGTTACCGGTATTTACCCCCTCGCGTTTCGCAGTAGTACTTTATAGTTCCCAGCATTGGGTTCTCAGTGGTCGTAGCTGAGAATCTGAGGTTTATCATGAATAACAAATTCCTTTAACATGAGAGAATAATTGAACAGGAAACCTATACAGTCACATAAGCGCCTGGATATGTGTTATAAATATACCCTCTGGTTTAGGAAGAACACAAGTCACTGAACTGGTGCAGACTGACTAGTTGTGTCAAAACGATTTAAAAGGCCAACATTTGAGGTACAGATCGGTAGAACGTCGGGTCTGTCAATAATGGTGAGATCGAAAGCTGGATCGACCAACATGCAACCTGATACGAGTTAACTGCAGAAAAATAATTCTTACTACAATAAGCAACGTGTGGTGTTCACCCGGGTGACAGTCGGCTGGGAAGAATATGAAGTCGGACCGCTCCGTGTATTCCCGTGACTGCAATTTAAACCGTAGACGATATAGCAAAACAGTCACAATATGAAGACATGCGTACAAATAACAGTTTGAACCTTGAGTGCTCGGATGTCAACAGCTTTTGAAAGTTCGTCGTGCAATGAGTGATGAGTAGCTGAATTTTTGAAATAAAATTTTCAAATGCTTGTAGTTTTCTTTCCATGCTAAAGTCTGCAAGGTTAACTCTAGCTTTACTACTGCATTTGGTGATGTGTTTTAGAGAACTCGCCAGTAAATAAAGCATTTTTCAACATACCGAGGAAAATCACTGAACAGCAGTACAGCCAGTTGGGGTGCACCCATGCATTCACAAATCTACCTTTGGGGAACCAGAAAGCATTCTTGATCAGAAATATGACACCGTTAACTTCGGTTAATGTGTCCTGAACGTGCAGAGACTATGGCAAATTGTGTGGTATTATGATGCCAGGATAATTTACCAATATTGATATCGCGATAGGTTCCTGGTTAGCAGGAAGAGAAGGAAACCTATTTGTAACGGCTGAATATAGTTCCTCGGCCAATATTTTGAGGAATTCAATGAACGGGGACGGGACAAGGACCAATTGACAAAAATTGTTCAGCTTGCTTTGAATTTCCGCAGTTTTTAGAGGCTTAGCATCCCAGGACGACATCGTCCACTTATTTGCATCCAATGAATGGAAAACTGAAACATTTGGATCCCGTAATGAATGTGAACAGGCAAGTCAGAAGACACTGCCAGAGGAATTCCTTTCGTATACTCGCATCGGTCGCGTACGTATAACATCGGACATGAAACCGTAGACTTCATCTGCGAACTCACCACCCGAGAGAACATCAACCTTAGCATACCTCCGTTGTTTTTGCAAACCCTCTTTTTACTGTGCACTGAAAACGTGCGCTTCCAGTTTCAGACAGACAGAGGGTGTGGCGATGAGCAGCCCTCTTGGTTCTATCCTGGCTGATATTTTCATGGGCACGATTGAAGCACAGATGGACGAGGCAATCAATATTTTTCTACAAGAGGTACGTGGATGACGTGTTCGTCATCTTCAATCACCCTCACGGTACGGCGGTATTGCTGGATGAATTCAACGCAGCAGACCCCAACTTGAAATTCACCTGTGAAGGTGAAGGAGAAGGCAAATTCGTTAGCTTTCCTTGATGTCCTGATAACCCGTAACAGTGACGGTTCCATCCAACGATCTATCTTCCGCAAGAAGACTTCATCTGGACAGTACCCTCACTTCAACAGTTTCTCACCAATAGAACAAGAGAGCCCTGGTTCGAACGTTGGTCCACAGGGCGAGAAAAATATGTACAGAGGACACAATACTAAATGAACAGGAGAATATCCATAGCGCATTACGGATAAATGGTTATCCGGAATCTTTCGTTCGTTTTCATAGTCGGACAGGTAACCGGACTCAAGCCAATACCCTTCGAGTGCCAAAAGAGAATATCCACATCTGGCCGTCATACAAAGGGGAGTCAGTAATGCGGCTTATCACACAGCGTATCAAAAAACGCGTTACAGAGAACCTACTACGCTGCCGCATTAAGACTCCATCCGATCACACGGCGCCTCCCCCCATTCAAAGATCGTCGTCCAGCCGAGTCTACCTCTCATTGCATTTACGCCTTCTGTTGCAGCTGCAACGAAGCATACATTGGTAGAACCGACCGATCACTGCGAACTAGAATGGCTGAACACATCCCCAAGTATGCGCGTGATTCAGAGTTTGTCTTCTGGCTTGCCTGTTCGAATGGAAAACTGTTCGGCATACATTTAAAAAAAACGGAGAAAACAATAGTCCGTGTATTGTATTGTATTGTATTGTATTGTATTGTAATAACTTCTGCAGGCATGAAGCCTACATTTCAGCTAAAAATATACAGGTTGGAGCGAGGGAGGAAAAAATAATGAAAAGGGATTTAAAACCCAAAAACTGTTTTCAAAGTCTGTGAAAACCTGTTCTTTGTTAACTAGAATACGTGCTAATGAAGGTACTGTAGAGTTACGGTATATGTTTATTCGAGAGGAAACAGCGATTTTGGGATCTAGTTAAAGGATGGGAACAGCAGGTGGTTAGATTTGCGTGTAGCATATGTATGGAGCCGATGAGAATCTTATGTGCAAACTTTTCACGTGCATAGGTCGTTCCTTCAGCGGGATTGTAGATACACGGCTAGTGGTGGTTAGTCCACGTAGAAGCAGTTTAAAATCTTTCTTAAAGAGATTGGAAAAAATAACAAGTGAACAATAAAGTAAAACGGGAAAACACTGGTACACAAATTTGGAAATAATTGATTGTTGGATACGAAACTGACGAAGTTTACGGATATGAAAAGAAAATCGTCGAGGCTTACTGACGATATGTTGAATGTAAAAGGTCCAGTGAAGATCAGTATCAATATTAACACCCAGGTATTTATTACAGTTTACCCGGGGTACTGGTTCGCAGCCAATCGATACCGGTTCAGATGAGAAAGCGTGATAATGTAGAGAGACATTCAAACACTTGGAGGGATTAAGAGAGAGGCCCGATTTGGCGGAAACTTGTTGAACGTTATCCAATTAGCCAAAAAACTGTGAAAGACCAGAGTAGTCGGAGATGGCCTGACACAAAACCACATCATCGGCATATTTGAAGAGAAGTAGGGGCGCTAGCAGACAAGTTACTAATATACGTAGAAAATAAGAATGGATGAAGAGCTGCACCTTAGAGTACAACAGAACTTCAACAACGGTTGGGATTTCTTCCGACCTCACCTGGTTCTCTCGGAGAAGTAATCGGCAAGCCAAGCTAATAACTGTCTAGGACAACCAAAGGTATCCAGTTTACGAAGAAGGGAGCGAGGAATAGAATTGAAAGCAGATAAGTAGTTGTAATGTTTGTGGTAGTAGTAGTAGTACGCACGGAATTCGGAATGCAAACCTCGCAATAGGAATCACAGGACCCGAATCAATAATCAGCTATCACGGACTGGATGACAGAAGCACT